AAATGAGTATTTCATTTGATTTTATATTACTGTAAAAATATACAATATTAAAATTATTATAAATTTCATTAATATATTTAAAAATTTTAAAGACTTATTATTTAAAGTTTGATACGATAAAGAATTATGCATTTTGATTACACATTCATATTTTATTTTATTGTCAAGTATATTTTAAATATTATTCTTAAGTTAATATAAAAGAAAATTCTTTTGAACAGTATTTTTTAGTAATTAATTAAGTGATTTTGTTTACTGAATACTATTTATCTCACAATTAAAATCTTTATTTATATAGCAACTTGTCTAGTTTTCTTTTATCAGCTTAAACATTTATTATAAATATTTAATAACTTCTAGAAATTTATTCATTAAATTTTTCCATTTTATTTCAAAAATTTTAGTAGCAAGACTATTATAATATAAAAAAAATTTAAACAGAAATTTATTAAACTTTTAAGTATCAAATTTTATTCTTATTTTTTTTAAATTAAGATCAATATAAAATATATATAAATTATATTTTATTATTGAATAAATACAATTAATGATATTTGTCATTATAGAATCATAATCTGTATATATAATCTAAGGATAAAAATCATGAGATACTTTTTTAAAATGCTGTAAAATCCAAATAAATGAATTTTCTGATTCATTTTCTAATAAAGTAATTGCTACTAATTGAGATCTTATATTATTATTAATAATAAAAAATAACATAAGATTATATTATAATAATTTGTTCTGACTGTATAGTTAAAAATTAAAATTTTATAAAATTTTGTGTAATAAAAAATTTAATTATGTGACATTTAAATTAATAATATTAATTATTAATTCTTTTTAGATAATCAAAATTTAAAAAATCTTGTTACTTTATATTATAAAGATAATATAAAAATTTAATAGCATTATTTTTAATAATATTTTTTTAACTAATCTTAAACATTTTATGGCATTATATAAATTTTTCTTGAAAATTAGATAATTAAAAAATTTTGCTTATAATAATAAATATATTTGTATTATACTAGTTATTCTATATTTTACATAAAATTCAATATCATTATATATTAACTGCATAAATTTTTTAAAATTTAAAAGCTATTTTATTAATTTATAGATTAATATAATATCATTTTAGATAAGCCTTAAATTCTTTTTATATTTAAAATTTGACACTTATAGTTAACATAATATGAAGTTTAATTTCTTTTTTATTAAAAGTAAAATTTTCATTAATATATTCATTTATATGCATTATAAAATGTATAATAAAAGAAGTTAAGTTAATGAAAAAAAAAAGAAAATTAATTAAAAAAATACTTTATAAGAAAAAGAAAGATTAATTTGTGTGATGATTTGATAATAAAACTATGTAATCAAATAAAATTACTGTAGTATTAGCTGGTTTTTTTTTATTAATATGAAATTTAAATAAATATAATATTTATAAATATAATTAAATTATAATTTATGTTAAACAATATAAAAAATTTTAAATAGTAAATTATTGTATAATATATATTTAAATTAAAAATCAAATTATTAAAAATAAACTAAAACTAAAATAATAAATTAATTAATGTTTAATTTTAGTCTTTTTAAAAAATATTCTTATTTATATAATTTTATAAATTAAAAATCAAAAAAAATATTAAATTTTAAAAATAATAATTTAATTTATATAATAATTTATAGTGTTATAATAAAACATTTTTAAATTTATAATTAAAAAAATTTTAACATTAATTTTAAATAAAAAATTATCTGTAATTATTGATTATAAATTTTAAAGTTATAATTAGTTGCAATTATAATATTTTACATTTATTAAAAATTTTAAATGAATACTATTTAGTTATAATTAATTAAACTAATTTTATATAATTAATTTTTATTAAAGTTGAAAAAATTTAAATAATTTAAATAATTTTTTTTAATTTTTTTTTAATATTAATAATAATTATTAAGTATTAAACAAATGTTTTTGATATAATTATTAGTTTCAAAAAATAGATAAATTATTAATTATCAAAGGTAAAAAGCAGTTTTAATAATCTAATTAATATTAAAAGATTTTAAGCAATGGATTTAATTTGATAATTATATTAAATAATCAAGTTTATTATCATTATAAAGAATAATATTTTAGATGATTAGTGAGAATATTAAATAGTAGATAATCTTTGAATCTTTATATATTAAAATAAATAAAGAAATCAGATTGTGAAATTTTTAACTAAATTAAGATCTTACAATGTTATAAACATCAAAATTTTTGTTAAAAAATTCACCTTTCTATATAATCTTTTAAAACTTGTAGATTTCAAAATGTCTTAAATAATTTACTAGAATTAATTTGAAACTTTCTGATAAAGAAATAATGAATAATATTAGTGATGTTAAATGATATTGATATAAATAAATACCGTAATGTTTAAAATTTTTCGGAAGGGTGTTTTGTGTGTGCTTAATTTTGTGGGTGCTTAATTTCGGAAATATACGGTAACCGGGGCGGGGCCGCACCAAAAAAAATAATCACAAAAAATAATCATCGTAAAAAATTTCAATTAAAGTGTATTGCATGTACACCAAAGATTATTAATTTGTATCATGTAAATAACATTAAAATTTATACTTTAAAAAAAAAAAATTTAGATGGTACAGTTGTTTTTATTTGATTGTATTGTATCTTTGTATAGGGCGTTATTTTTCTGGAAAATAAAAAGAAAAATATCCGAAATTAAAAATTTATTATTGAAGCAAGTTGAAAGTTTTATTCTTCAAAATGCAAATCTTTGTATAAATTAATCTTTTAAAATAACTTTTAAGTAAAAATCACATCGAACAAGTTTATCATTTATAATACTTTTTTTAATCTTCTTTACGGTTCGAATGAAACCTCATTTTATTTTAATCGCTTTAAGTCACAGCATTAATTCCTTTTATTGGATGATGGTAACATTGTTTTGGTCCTATAAACAAGCCTTTTTTTCATTAAGAGACATTATTTGATTTGATAGTGATGGATAAAGGACTGAAAATAATTATTTTAAGATAAATCGTTCTATTCAAATGTAAGATATTTCTGAGTAAAGTATGTCTTTGCACATTTTATGTCTCGCGTTATCTCATTGTTTGATATTACGAGCCCTTGCTTTTGAAGAGTATCCCGAAAATTCTGGAAAAATCCAATCCCATAAAGAATTTCATAAAAAAAAAAAAATTTTATTTATCATTATTTTTTCTTTAAGCAAGACGTGAAAGAGACCAAAAAGCATAACATATGAGCATTACATAATTTGCATAAAGTAAACTTGAGAATCTGCATTAAAAGGACTTAAAAGTAATGTTATCACAAGGGAGAAAAGAAAGTCGTCACTTGAAACGAATAATATTAAATAGTTTTTTTTTTTTTGTTTTCACAGCTACGTTTTTTTTTCAAATTTATGACCAATTTATCTGTTGACAATTTCGGCGATTAATAATTTGCTTTAAAAGCAAAAGGTCAATATAAAGGAATGATAACCTAGCTTTTAAAGAAGAGAGATTACATAAAAGTAAGTCGACAGAAAGTAAAAAATGCGCTTATTCTTTAACCAAGATATTTACCGAGGTTAATCGACGTTTTTGAGAAATAAATTTATAAATTCGAAGTAAATTGAAAGCGATTTAGAATTCGAAACAAAAAAGTTGTTTGCTTTATCATCCATGACTTCAACGAAAAAAAAATTCATAACATCGCGAAAGGTTAAGAGCCGTTATGAACGATAAAGACTTTTTCGTTCAAGTAAAAGAAAATATGAAAAAAAAAGGATTTTTTTTTTAGAGTAAAAAGTTCATATTTGGATCATAACGGAGGAGTTGCCCCCCAGAGAGAAAGAGAAAGGGGAAAATTTGATCCTTTTATATTAATACTGGAAAAGATCAAGATTTTCATTTTAAAATTTAATATACTTCAATCGCATAGATCCTTTAAAAATAACTTTTAGAGAAACTTGAATCTTGAACAATTAACTTAAAATGGTTGGTCCGGTAAATCATTAAGCGCATCGCGTGATGTTGCACTTGAACCTCAGCTTCATATAAATACCAAATTTGGCATAGACCTTGTGTAGTTGTTGAACAGTAGGAAACCAGCAGATTATCCTTTAGAACACCCTTCTCACTAACCGAACTAGTTAAAAAACTTTGCTTATGAAACTAACCCAATTAATCCAAATTGAATCCACAAAAAAAAATTATTAATGGAGATAAAATCTTCCCATTCTCTTTCTTTCTTTGTGATCTTAAAAAAAAATAGCTGCATGAAATGGAAAATTTAAGGCCCGTTATTTATTAGTAGTATACTTTCCGTTAATATCAAAAAGGTGTAATACAAAAGAAAAAAAACAACGTATAACCAAAATTCTCACATGGAAAACGATGACGTGTACATACAATGAATTGGTTCATTAGAACAGAACGTGATAAACATAGAAGAGTATGCACATATGTGTATACTTTATACTTATAAGGTTCATATAATCGGGACTTCTCGGGTTGGGTAATATGGGACCTTTGCAAGGAAAAAATGAACTTTACTTTTGTATGCCAAATATGATTTTTAGGTCAATATATGTTCAGATTTAGCATTAATTATTTTTTACTTTCCCCCATATATTTGAAAATCGATTTTCTGTAAATTTAATTATTTTTGTTAACGTGACACACATAAATAATGGCGCAATAAATTCCTTAAATATCGTTTACTACGTGTAACAAATTGGTAGTTCTTGTGCGACTGACCGGTGAACCTACAACATTCAATTCTTCAAATGGTTCTTTTATCGCTGACACCTTAAAAAGAATAATAATAATAATCTTATGTTTTATTTCTTAAATTTGTAATTAATTAGTGCTTATTTTGCTTATTATTTTACGCGAAATTTTCTTAATTCTTAAAACAAAATCTTGGGACTTAAATAAATTCATTACTCCTTAGTTAACGTTTCTTAATTTTTAATCATATTAGTATCCTTAATCCAGCCCATAACTATTTTTTCTTCATTTTTGTCCTTCCCGAGTACGAAAATGTTTTTTGTTCCGATTTTACGATCGACCAAAAATACGACACAATCAATCAGAGGCATTCCTTTAACCCTTATGTGAGCCCAGGTACGTTTTTTGGGGGATAGAATTTTCATCAATTCCCACGGACGGTTTTCGTTATTCGATTCACAAATTTCGTTACCTCCCAATATTGCTATATGTTTACGGATTGGTAATATCGCGGCACCACATCTTCTCGACGGATTTGCTCCAGATGTTGGTACCCAATTCTCGGGAAGTTCAATTTTCGACATAAATTTTTCGTCTTCATAATTCAGAAATTTTTGCCATTCGAGTCTCAATGCATCGTATACCCATATATCGGGGTCATCGTGCGTACGATTAGATCTAGAAAATGATTTGATTTGTTGACCTCCATATACGTAAAGTTTCCCGTTCGTGAACATTGTTGAATGCTTTGATCGAGGATATGGAGTACATTTGGTTCCGTCACATATCGTCCATTCATTTTTCCTCGTGTCGTAGACCGCGAACTCTTTAGTATCGTAAAAATGACCTTAAAAGGTTTACAAGCATGTAGGATTAGATGATATCAAAAAAAAATTTGGCGTAATAAAAAATAAATAAATAAATAAATAAAAATTACCATCCATTTCAAGTCGTCCACCGAATAACGCTAATCGATAATGATCAATGAAATTTAACGTGTGCAACATTCGAGGTTTTGGCATCATGTGACTATTCTGTATCTCTCGTAATTCAAATGTATTCACATTTAATTCGTAAAGAGTATTGGTAAGTCTTCCTGTGATGAGATTTTGACCTCCAAATATATAAATCAGATTTTCTATGGCGGCGGTTGCTGCGAATTTACACGGTTCGTAATGACCATGAGTATCATGTTGAAACTTTATGGGATTTCGAACAAATTTTAAAGGAGATCGGTCAAATCCAAGAGACAAACAATAAGGACCTTCTTTCGCAAGGATCGGAATATATAAAATGCCGTTTATGAACATGCCATCACGATAACAAGATGCGGGTAGTCCCTCCGAACCTGCAATCTCGGCATCCTCCCAAGCAGGTGACACGGCACTAAAACGATGCATTCTTATTAAACGATAGAGCCATTGGCATGTCAACGAAAGGTATTGCTGGTCTTTATCGTCCAACTGATCTAATAAATTATACAAAATCTCGTTGGGTAAACGTGACAAATTATCATTTTTTAGAGATGAGAATAATCGAGACATTTGAACGAATTTTTATTTTTATTTAATTTTATGATCTTTGATATATAAATATATATTAAGGAACTTAGAAGGTTTTTTTGTAAAATTGTAAAAGTATAAAACCACCAGGGTTCATGAAAATGTACTTTAATTGTCCATAAAACAGCGCCAAATCCCAAAGATTCGAAGGAGCAACTTTCTTCACGTTTTATATTCGTTTTTAAGCGACACATGATCAAATAAATTTTTGCCTTTGATGATTAGCCCGATCATGAGCTTTATTAGGCGTCATAACTTTTTTTTTTTTTATCATTTTTATTTATTTGGATAAACCATGATAAATAGAAAGTAAGAAAATTACGAAACTCGTCATCGATCGGAACAAAAATTATCTTAGGTAATTAACGGATCATCGGAAAAATCGATGCTTCCCCATATCGATGGATGCGTTGTTTATTTAATTGCAAAATGTTTGTTCACTTGTTTTGGAACCTTCAGGTTTGGAAAATTAGACAAACTTATCACTAAATTATTGTGATGTAAAATTATGCACAAAATTCATTCCTTTGTAATACAAAAAAAAAAGGTCCGTCGGCAAATAGAATTTCCTCTTTATCATAGCAGCCTAACCATAAATGTACAATAAGGATATGATAACATAATTAAATATTTCTTTCATTTCGTGTTCAAATTAAAAACTTTTTTTTTTATTTATTGCATATTGGCTGAAGTAAAATAATTTTCGACTAATGAATTATGATAAAATCTTGTCAAAAAAGCAAGAGAGGTTACAATTTAGCATTTATTTATTTATTAAAAGTGGATTCTTTATTTCCGATGAGGCTAAACCAATTAATTAATTGTTGATCTATTAACAGATCTTTTGTCAATAAACAAAAATTCTGAAGATTGCTCTCCTGCGTAACATAATAAAAATGACGACATTGAGACTAACGAATTTTAGGAAGTTACTTGTACCTATAAAGAATTACAATATCAATGTCGTCATGGCAACACATTTAGTAATTGAATAATTATTATCATCATTATTTAAATATTTAGAAAGAAAATATTTCATAATTTTTATTTCTTGGTATCATATTATGAAATATTTATTTATTTATGAAACACGATTGCGTTCGTAAATTCAATCACTGCATCGGTGATTCACCACATAATTGACGTCGTTTTGCTATGATATTATCACGCATTCGTTGGGTATGTTGAATGTTTTATTGCACTCCTCGATCTGCAAGGTTGCTGTCGTTTCACAACGTCAAGTGGCGACATTTTCAATCGAATATTTGCAGGTTTCTCGTATCAAGCAAAAATTCATTCACAAACCAGTTCTCCTTTATAGGAAGGAAGGAATTAACGGACGATCTCCGTATTTTTTTTATCAAATGCCAAAAAAGTTTTTGAATGACAATAAAACGAATTTATATGTATGCAGGAGTGATTTATTTACATCGTCAGATTCATTTTGTTAACAGATTCGAGAATAAGGGCTGATTTGTGATTTGTATGCCTGGTAACTGTTTGATTCGTACTACGGGAAGGTAAATTTAATCGCTTACGAGTGACTACCTCCAATTTATGTACAGTACATCCAAGCTTTCTGAGCACAAAGTTATTATTCGGTTTTAAAGTTCAAAGGTACAAAGCGAGCAAAGACTCGCAAAAATAATTCACTTAAAGCAAATAATGTCCTAAATGACAAAATCTATGATTGATAATGTGTATTTCAAAATCTTCACATTCAAACATAATGTCTAATCTAACGACATTCTCGATTCGAATAGCCTTTCATACTCCGATTGGGAATTTTGTCACATGGAAACATCTATAAACTAGTAATGACCTTTGCTCATATTCTTTGTCCTCTTAAATATTATTCATATCAATGCCAAGTTTTCATGACAAACATGCATTTATTCCAATTATTTATTAATAAATCTATGTATTATTTTTTTTAAAAAAAGGATCAGATTTAAAAAATGGTACTTGCACATGCTTTGATAATAAATTAGTTAAATACACGAATCATTACCTAAATTATCACAATCTAAAGGTTTTCTATGTTACATCGGAGATATCATGAGCAATTAATTGTCCTTAAACATGCTTTTGCCGTGGTAAATTATTTGTAGTTGATTTTCGTGTCAACGAAGAAACACCGAAAACGATTGTTGAAGTAACAAATAATTTAATAACAAAATGTTATATTTATTTTATGGATCTTTACTAAATTCAAGAAGGATTAATGTTCAACCGGAAATATTTGCTGTAATAATGATTCATATATTCGTTTACTTTACAAAATTTGCTTTTGATTCTATAACAAGAAATAAAAAAACATTTCACTTAAAATTCCGAACATAAGAATCGTCGCGAAAGCTGTTTTTTATTGTGCTCCATTTATCCTTAATCAAATGACATGATCAAAATTCACATATTTGATAACCCTTTGTATTTATCAAATAATTTTTGACTTAAAGAAAACGATTCACCTTTCTGGTGAAGAAGAAGATTGAACAGACAATGATTAAATATAATAAACGAAGAAAATGTCGTATTTAAAGTTGTTTGTAAAAATAATGCTCTAAGATGCATTTAATTGCATGCGATCATCAACAGGATTATGCTAGTTGGGTATTCCGGTTAAGTAGTTAATGGTTAGTCTTCATAAAATTAAACAAGAAATTGTCCAACATCTGGTTAGTCCTTAATTGTGATAAATTGCGATATTAGGTATTTATTATTTTCAATTAGTAGGATTATTTTATAAACATGCATAATAACAAAAATAAAAAAATTTATTTTAATAAATCTAACTAGCATAATTTTTAAAAGAATATATAATCGCAATAAAACTCATCACTAATTATAAATTTATTTAATATTTAGCAGAACAACCATTATTAGAAATGTACTTCAAGTTTTTTTGATAAACTTTCTATTAATTTATAAACAAATTTATAAAAAATTGAGCTTATTCTTCATTTAAAGTCAAATCTAATTCTGAGCATTTTCTTGATGCTACAAGTTCAATTCATTTTACAAATTTTCAATTGGATAGGAATCAGACAAAATCTATAAATCCTAAGACCTAAAATTTTCATTTATATTCCTTTAATACAAAATTTTTGGCACTTTTATAAAATTCAAAATCATAATAAATAAATTCATATTATTTTCATTTAATATTTTTTTTTTTTTTTAGAAATTTATATATAAATTTACTATTTCTATAAATTTTAAACATTTTAATTATTTTGATTTTATGATTTTTAATCTAATTTATTATATTTAATTAAAATTTAAGCAATTAATTAATATAAATTATTTTTAATTTATTATTATATAAGATTTATTATTTTAAAAAATTTTCATTTAAATATATTTTATCTAGGTTTATTGTAAATTTTTAAAATAATAATTTTAATAGTTTAATTATTTTAAAATAATATATCAATTTTATAATAATTGTAATTTTAATTTTAATTTAATAATTTTTATAAAATAATATTAATTATATATTAAATAATTCATTAATTTTTTAAATAATTTAAAATTATAATATTTGTGAAATAATCTTTAAAAACATAATAAATAGTATAATTTATTAATTTATAATTATTTTTGATTTATAAATTTAATTTTTTATTTAATAATTTTAAAGTATTAATTTGTTAATTATATAAAATATATTTAATAATATAAATACTTTAAGTTAATAAATATTTTTATAAAATTACTAATATACAATAAATGAAAGATAAGCTATTAAAATCACATTACGGATCATATGATTTACTATGTTGGTAACTTAATTTTAATAGCAAACCTCTCAAATTATAATTTACAAATTAATTTATTTAAATATAATATAGTAAAAATAAATATTTTTTAAATAATATTTAAAGAAATGTTATATTTAAATAAATATTTATTTAATAAAATATAATTATATTAAATTTGTTTAACTAATATTTATATATACAGTTAATCTTCACTATAGTAATACTCTTTGAAACTGAAAAAATTATTTAATTATAAAAATAGGTTTTTTTAATAAGTTTATTAGTAACTTAGATTAATATAAGTATATTTATAAAAGAGATATAATAATATATAGGTGTAATTATAAAAAGAATTAATTGTATATACAGTTTATTACAAAAAAAAACTGGAAATAAAAAATTATGTTAATAATATAAAATAACATAAAATTTTTTTTATTTAAAAAGTAGAAAAAAATTAAGAAATTTATTTTCTATTTTTTTAAATAACGAGCTCATAATGTCATTTTATTAAATCTGCAAGATTTATTAAAATGTCATCTGAAAATTTTCTTTATTTCTTAATCGTAAATCTCTCTAATTTAATAAAATTTTTTGGTATTCAGTATTCTATATTCTCTTTAATAATATTTCAAAAATTTTTTATTAAATTTAAGTTAGGATTAGGGATAATAATAATTGATTGTAATCAATTAATAATCAATCAAAGATCTTTAATTGATTGACTGGTTAACTGACTGATTTTAATTGATCAGTTGATTGAACAGTTAATAATAATATAATTGACAGTTTGACTTAATAGAAGTTTTAATTTAGTTAAATATTTAAAATTTTAATTTTTGCTTTAATAATTCAAGTATGACATTTTTTAAAACTATCTTATAAATTTTATTAATAGTATAGTATTATCACGAATTTTAATTATTATTTTTTCAAAATTTTAAAATTTTAATTTATATATAATTAAAATAAGACATTGATTTATTAATTTAATACAAAGTATTTTTACTATTTAAAATATGATTATTCAGTCTCAAGTTAATCAGTTAACTGATCAATTAAAATCAGTTAAAATCAGTCAATCAACTGATTGATCAGAGTTTTTGACCAACTGATATCAATTATAGTTATAATTAGTTATAACTGTGATTATTAGTATTCATAATCATAATTGTTCAAAAGTTAATCTATAACTTTTAAGATATTATTTTAGAGAAA